CAAGGAACAAGATATGAAATCTTTCAAATGCGCTCTATTTTTCCTAAAACATCTCGAAAGAAATGATGCCCCCTGCTGCCCTAGAATTAAAAGTTCACCGAAAAAAAAATAAACCAATTTCTGGTGCAGCTGTCTCCCCCTAGTGCTTATACAGCACCCACAACCTAATCCACTGAAAAGGCTTGAAGATTTTTATACGTGTGTGTATATATATATATACACACATATATATGTATGTATGGAATCAGTTTTACTTTTTTCCTTTAAGTGTAACATGGACCTGCTCTTTTCTCTTGTGATACTGAAAAGCAAAAAGGGCCCAAGAAAGCACTTCCATCACACTTGCCTTCTATTGCAGACCAGTGGCAAAAATATTACTTGCAGTTGCCCATTTCTGCTTAAAACAGACTTGCCAAACTGCAGTCATTCACATTAATTTTCTTCAAATGCTGCCCGCCTAGTAAAGTGCATAGTTCAATGACTCTATTACTGCCAATAAAAAATATCACGCCCTTCCCAAAAGGAAAGGCTTCCCACTCTGCTGGCCAGACAGAATAAAGAAGACGGCAAAGCATCTTCCTTTCCTTCCAAAACACAGTTTTCTTTATTTCCCCCTGCACACGGGGGAAAACATGAATGTGTCTTTTTATGTCGAGTTTAAAATGTATAAGCTTAGGCACAAGGAAGGTAGAAGGAAAAAGCAGCAGGAGTTAAAAAATACTGAAAAATAGAACTCTACCAGGCAACTGTAAAGTAAGATCAGCAGCAAATATTTGCTGCTGTGCCTGAGAAACTACCTGGCAAAGAGAAACTTCATGCTTTTAAATAAAATATCTAAAGTGAATGCACATCTATACATACATTTATCAAATTTTTAGCAATATATAAAAAATAAACCACTGTCTACCAAATGCCACATCATTAATGCAGTTGCAAAAATGTGGGGTGAAAGTCTTCTTAACCAGGAAACCAGTGCAGAAAAATCCGCAAAACTGTTTTTTTTTTTCTTTTTCCTAATGAAATAGAGACCAGAGACATCCGGACCCAACTAACATATCTGTGCTCCAGATCTCCAAGCCCCGGGAGTATTCTGTGCTCCTCTATTCACCAGCAGAGATAAGAAATACAAGCTTTTCTGAAGGTGCAGCTCAGCCAGGGGTCCCCTGCTTGACCAGAAAAGTTCTTGTAAGATCATGGCACCCCAGAAAGGGACAGTAGCCAGGGCCACTTCTTTCTCATCCCCCGTTAAAAAAAAAAAAAAAAAAAAAAAAAAAAAAAAAAAAGTTGCTCCCCAATGCTTAGTTTTTCCAGCAAACAGCATTACATCCTCCCAACGGGATTGTCCAGCTTTATATAAAGATTTGTGTCTGTGTTGCTCCTGGCCATATGAAGTTCACATGGCAAATAACGCACTTCCTGGCAATCAAAAATAAGTTGGAATTGGAGAAAAAGAGAATTCAAGAAAACCTTGAATGAACCAGCAGCAGCAAGGCCAAACTCCTTCATTTTTCCCTTGTTTCAGTATTCCTTCTTCCCACAGCTTAACTCATACTCACCACAACCCACTCCCTCTCCTACACAGTCTTAAAAGGACAAATAAGGAACAGATCTATCACACGGGGGATCGGTCTCAGATCAATCAGATCTCAGAACAATCTCAGTGTGTTTGGCTACCCAAACGGGGAACAGCACAAAAGCCAATTTGGGGCAATCACTGATACGTTTCTAAAATCACCACGATACCACAGATAGAAAACCCATTTTTACTCTTGTTCAAGTGAGAAAGCAATTCAATAGAGTGCAGAAAAATCCAGATTTGTTCCTGGTCTTCATTTCACACCCTTAGATTGACTTTATATTGTACTACATGTACTTATACTTCTATATGTATGTCTGTGTGCATATATATATATGTGTATACTTATACATATATAACATTTGGAATTTAGGTCAAAAAAAATATGACCTAACATTACAATTTTTATATTTCTTTGAGAAGGAAGCTGCAAACCTCCCAGTATCTTCCACAGCTGGATCAACCAGGTTCATTCTTAAACTCTTCTCTCTACATCTCCTCTGGCTACCATCTGAGCCAAAATACTAGGCCAGAGGGACCTTACAACCCAGGACAGTGCTATTAGCACGGATATTCGCTGGAAAACAGGGGGCTGAAGATTACACAAACCAGGACAGGTATTACTGTCCTTACAAGCCACAACAGTCCCGTCAGAATACATATTCGCTGAAAAACAGGGGGCTGAAGATTACACAAACATGGGGGCCATCATGTCCTGGATTCAGGGGCTGAATTTAATTTTTAATATCACATTCCTAGCACTAAGACTGTATCCTGGGACACAGGCTCGGCCTTTGCACCAGCACCTTCAGCTTCAACAAGCACCAGGCTACGGGGCTGCGGTTTCTCCCACAATGTTTGAAACGGCTCCGTTTTCACAGAGGAGTGGCAGGAAAGGGGAACGCAGGGGCCACGCGGCACCTCGCTCCATCCTGCTGCTGTCAGGAAGAGATCTGCTCCCCATGGGATGCACAGGAACGTCAACGCGTTTTAATGCCAGGACCAGCGACCTGGCAACTGCTTCACCTCACTCATCTAGCCACAGTTAGGCGGGTTTTTGACACATATTTCTACCCTGTCTCGCTTGCACCAATCTCAGTATTTCTGCCACAAACCCTTGCAGCACTGGCCTAACAGGCCTTCAGTCTGATCCAGCCTACCGTTAGGAAAAATTGCTGCATTCCCTCCATCTGCAGGATATCGCTCAGCCCATACATACTGCCCACGTATTTTCTTTAAAAAATCTTTTCTTTTACAAATATATTAAAATATGTATACCCGAGCAACATACAGAACATAACCACAGATATACAAAAACACTGACATTCCTACTATAAGGAATTCCTATTATAAGACAGTTACTACACATTGCACAGCAGCGAGCAAGGAATTTAAAAAAAAAAAAAGTAAATTTAATAATTAACAGAAAAGAAAAAAATATATAGCAGCGATGCTTTATAGCCACCGTGACTACGGACAGGTATATAAATACAGGACAAAGAGGCACCACGATAAGCTCCGACTTTCCCGCCCCGGGCGTTTGGGGCAGAAAACGGAGGATCCGGAGTTGCCCCAAACAGACCCGGGG